CCCTCATCCCTCATCCACTAGGCGGGTTCATAAAAGGAGACCAGGTTGGTCAAGCAGGACCTGCCTCTCATGAACCCGTGCTGCTAGGCCGGAAAGCAGGACCTGCCTCTCATGAACCCGTGCTGGCTAGGCCGGATCCCCTGGTTGTCCCGCTCATGCCTTGTGAGCGCCCTCAAGATGAACCGCTCCATAATCTTCCCCGGCACCGAGGTCAGGCTGACAGGCCTGTAGTTCCCCGGATCCTCCTTCCGGCCCTTCTTGTAGATGGGCGTCACATTGGCAAGCCTCCAGTCGTCCGGGACCTCCCCCGTTAACCAGGAATGTGCTGAGGAAAAAGCTTTAGAAGTAAGAGACTGAAGCCGGAGAAATGCAAGGTTTCCTGCATTTCCATCCAGCTTTTCAACAAACAGAAAGGCACCTACACAGTCCATATGACACACACAGAGAATGGGGTGCACCAAGAGCTGACCTGCAGTTGCAGTGTTGCTTTCCCAGACTTAGAAACAGACAACAGCTTCACCAGAGCAGTAACTCCAAGCAGGACTTTGAACTGCTAGAAATCCTGGAAAAGTGCTGAAAGCTTTCAAATTCCATCCTGACAAAGTGTCCAACCAGAAGGAGACTATATATGATCTTACACAAATCCCAAGCAGATCAGAGGATTCCTAAAGCACATCTAAGCACTTCATTTCTGTGATTAGAATTCTCAGTAATTTTAAGAGGCTCCTATCACAACCAGAATCTCCTATAGAATGAGAGATGCCCACAGATGAATGCTCCCAAACAATGGCCAAGTACTATTTTGAAAGAGCTTCTAAGCCCTTTTAGCAGCACTGATCTTGACCGGTTTTACTACCAGATGCATCTAGCACAAATATTTAATTCTGACATGATGTTTTTGTTCTTTAATAACAGGAAAGCATGTAGTCTGCCTCCTCCCTTAGAGCTATCAAGGCTATTTCACAGAGATTTATTTATTTTCCTGCTTTAGAGCAGGAGGTAAGGCACTTAGGAAGGTAGGTATGCCCAGTGTTGATACGCTACCTCTTCTGAGTGTTGTTGAACACCAAAGTTCAATGCCATCATACAGCTATCCTGTGTGAGAAAAGATCCTCAGCTCTGGAAACAAAGCAGTTATATGCTGTGCTCAGCTGTGTGTAAGCACTTCCACTGAGGACATGTGGGAAGGAAGGATAGAGAAGAAAACCCCCAAAAGACTGACAGAGGAGAAAAGTTTGAAGTGCTTACTCTTGTATTTGCAGTATGACTGCCATTTGCAAAATTGCCAGAAACCCAGGGTAATCTCTCAACTCTTCCAAGCCTTGGAAGACTGAGAGTATCCCAATTTCAGGATTCTCAGTTTACAGAAAATTTCCCATTTATCAAAATTGATATGAACAGCCCCAAAACCAAACTATTCCAAAGCTCTATGCTTACTTACTAACTTTCATGTCAGTCAATTCTGGTGACTGTGAGCAACAACAACTGAAAAAAACCCAAACCCCTTTTCTGGCCAACTGCAGAGCGCTTCTTTCGATGGAAGGCCCACCAGCACTCCAGAAACCCAGGGTGGACTGGAAACCCACCATGTCAGAGTCTAAAGCACAGGCTGACATCCAGGAGCTATTAGTAGGACTTCCTTTACATCCTACCTCAGGTTTACCTAAAGTTCATTCACACAGCCATCCAACACAAGACTTACTTAATAGGCATTTCTTTAATGAAGTCACCTGGAAAGTCTCCTGAAGGACCGCAATTTCCTACCAGCTATAGAGTGGCTTGTAGCAACACAATGCCATGTTCTTTCAAGGATTCAGTACAAAGAGCACCACTTTCTGGGAAGCCCAGGACAAACTCTTCAGTGTAAAATAAATCACATCATTCTCTTCAGCCCTTACACAGCCTTCAGGTGCCTTTAGTTCAGTGTTTGACCCCATCCCAAAATCAGATACAATATAAGGGCACCAGTTTGGGCAACAGGGAAACATGCTATGTCCAAGATAAAATAAGGTCTGTAGGACACACGCCTGAAGTGCCTTAACTTACAATGGAATTGCTGAGATTCTTCATTCTCTCCACAACACTCTTCATTGTTTTCAGCACCGGCAGGTAAATACTGACCTAGAAAGACATAAGAACTGCATTCACACAAATATTTCATGTATGACTGATGTGATGCATTTATTTCTCCCTTCAATTCTATCTTATTTTGGACTCAGTTATCTATTGAGTACAGGGAGCACAATATTTAACTGAAATCAGCAAATGACTCAGGAACAGAGGAACTCTTTCCCATTATACCAACAGGCCATCACTCTAGCAATTGCTTCAGACATACTATCCCCAGTCTGTGTTCAAAATAGAGACAGGCTTTTGCAGATCAGTTTCTCACATGAACGCACATCTGTGTTACTGAGCAGTTAATAGTTACTATAGCCAAAAATAAAAGAACATGATTCCCATGGCACTGTAATAATTTCTGGAATTGCATCAGTATAAACCTGAAATAACAGAACAAAATACATAAAGTTTCTACCGAGTCATATGTCTTCAGAATTTAAATACTCCTAGCTATAGAGGTAACAGACATCCATAACCTCAAATAGGAGCACATTTGCACGAAGACCTTTCCTTGCAACTCTACTAAGAGTCAAAAAGGATATAGAGAGGATATATAAAAGTCAGGAGGAAACACACACATATATATATAATTCTGCCAGGTAGGCCATGAATTTCAGAAAGAACAGATTATTTGGGCCGTTTGGTACGTAAACAGCTGAAACAGTCTAAACCTGAGTGGTTTGGAGGTGCTCCTGCCTAAAGCCATGCAAGTCCTTTGCTCCTCCCTTCCTCCACCCTGAATATCACAGCAACTGGTAACCACCTGCTCTGTTTTTACAGGTTCTGGACTCTCTTGTGAAGACAGAAGCCATGTCCCATCCCTCTCCAAACCTCTAGCCTCCAGCCTTTCCTCTTTCCTTTCACCTCCTCTCCAAAACCCACCAGTAGTATACTCCACAGCAACAGCATTCCACTTGCAACCTCCTCTTTCTGTAAGGAATATAAAAACAGAGGCTTACATCAAAGTCTGGCACACTGGGCTCTCTGAAGTCATTCCATAATCTTCTGGGAATAACTCCCACGGGAATGTCATGTGTCACAATCCTACTGCTGCTTGATAAGGATGGCTTGAGGGAGAGAGAGGATGCTCTTGCAGTTAAAAACAGGACTTGAATTCTGAATTCAAATTTTTCAGACCCACTTTGGGAAATACTATAACTGAGTGCCCCAGACATTCAGTTCCAGTTTTCCATAGGTTCCTACTGGTCTGCTATTAAGCGGACTTCCCTTTTGAATAAGGAAGAGGTTGTGAGGTATCAGTCATTAGTATTTATAAGCTATCCTTAGAGCTGAAGAGGTGAATCAGTGAAGAGGTGTTAACAACAAAAAAAATTCGGAAGACAGCAGTTTGAAATGGAATGGCAGGACAATCAAAAGCAAAACAAAGAGCCAAATGCTACGCTGAAACCTCCTTCACCTAATGGCTTCAATGAGAAGGCAATAATCCACAGAAGATTTAGAGAATGAAGGAATGGAGAAAAGTAGACATTAGAAAAAGGTGTTTCATAGTTTTCATTCTTCGTCCACCTCTTCCTTGCCTTTTGGAAAATACAAAGCTGGTTCTGTGTGCTACCAACCATGATGGCAGGAAAGGCTAGTGAAATGGAAAATGGCATGATTTTTCTTGCTTTCGTTTTCTAGAATTACACCAAAGACTACCAAAGCTTCTATTTGATCTCAGGAAAAGCACTTAACTTTTAAGAGCTTTTTCTTAATAATGAAGATAAAAGCATGGTTGCACTTACTAGCTCCACAGCAACTCTGAGACAGGGACAGTGTTTGTTAGTCAACTTGATCTTCACTGCCTTAGCGCTCTGGGCAGTTTTTAATGCTCTCGACAGGTTGTCAGGCACCAACTCTAAATAGATTTCATTGTGCTCTGCAGCTACTCCTTCCATCTGAAATTCATCGAAGAAATTGCCCTACAATTTTTGAAAGTTGGGAAATAAAATAAAGCAAATGAAAAAAAAAAGAAAAAAAAAGACAGAGGGGCAAGTTTTGCCTATCAGACCTTAAGCTTAGAACTGCATGTGTACAACAGGAAGCTTTCCTCTGCCTGGCATCACCTGCAGGAATCAAGACAGGCTGCATAAGCATGAAGGCCCATTGCTTCAGGCTAAACCTATTCATTTCAGATCCTCCCCTAACACCTATCAGTCCTCAAAACAAGGGGTATGATGGGTGAGTTACGCTTTCCTGTTTCCAGCTTTGGGCAGGCCTTTGTGGGCCAGCACACACTGAAGCTTTACACTGAAGTGACAACCAAGGTAAAGGGGATGTCTAGCCAGAAACACCAGGCCTGTGCAACTAAAAGGCAGTCCTGCAAAACAGAGTGCCTTCAGTGACCAGACAGGCCTTGAGTGACCTGGCACCTCTCAGGTGAGGGCTACATGTACAAGAAACCCACTGTACACTAGACCCAACTGCATGCTCCGGTTTTCAACAACATGTGGTTATTGAACTTCCCGGGGCTTACCTGGCACAGCTCACACCACATACTGACGCCTCCATTTGCTACTTTATCGGAGAGAATGAAATACAGCTTGCTGACAGTAAGGCGCAGGGTGCAGGTCTTGGCTAACTTGGCGATTGTGTTAATTACACCTGGCGGAGAGAGGTAACGTCACAGCGGTAACCGCTTCACACACCTCGTCCCAGGGGGACAGGGGAGAAACGTTCAGTCTCCAAAAACGCAGCTCGTGCTGCTTGCGGAAACTCCCGAACACCTCGGGGTGAAGGAAAGCGCCTCACGCTTCCTCCCCCCGGGAAAGGCCTCTGGACCCGCGGCCCGGGCCTCAGGG